AATGTTAGCAAATAATGTTCAGACTTCATAGAAAATCTATCTTAAAATCAAAACAAATACTCTTATGCATTATTTTTTATTTATTTGGTTATCTCTTCATATATGTAAATACTATTAAATAAAAGAGTATGTTTCTCAATAATTTAAAAAAAATCCAAGATTTGACTGAACAGATACCTAAGCCTTTAATCAAAATCTCTATTTCAACCTGTTTACCTTACCTAAATCTTTAGACAGCTAGTTACATGCTGTTATGTGTTTACATAATCTGTCCAACAGGCTAAAAGTTATTAGACTGTTTTCCCAGACAGCTGATCAATAGAATTGCATATTCAGAGCTGATTTTGCACAGCCATACACACAAGTGACACCCTTGCACTAGAAATATGAATGCCACATATCAGCATCCAACGTGTTTGCCAGCAAATCAGGCCTCATCTTTCTGAAAGTGGGACTGTTCTACACCACCCATATTCCAAAGACTCCAAATTTAAAGTGATTAACTGAAAAAAAAATCATAAGATGGTAAAGAGGGAAAAGCACTGCAGGCCTTTACTACTGTTTCACAACTTGGATAGTAACAATCAGGGGAGAAAAAGATACCTGTTAACACACAAGTAATGCTGTAACAGCAACGCAGGTATCTTTTTTTTCCCCAACAACTGCTAGAAATAGTCAACACAAATTTGGGAATCTACGATGGAAATAACAAATTTAAAATATTTACTTTAGCAACAACCTCATTTGCTAAGTTACAAACCTCTCTATCTGTCATTACTGTCCAGTGCCTCAAGATGCAGACAGATGCCTTACAACAGAGAGTTAAAGAGAAACTTGCACTCAGGGGCAATGGCAGCACCTCACACAGGAGCCTTCACGTGGCCTTGTCAGCAGCCAGTCGGTCACACTGCAACCTTCACAGGGCATAAGCATTTCCTAGGCTTTCCTAGGAGGCTTCAGTTCCTTTTAGAAATCGTTTCCACGATTTTTCATTCAAGATTGTTAGTCAATAGCCTCTAAAAACTTTTGAAATAAACAGCATTTTAGAAGCTAACTTCCATAATTTATGAAAAGCAATGTAGGGGGGTACATTGGAGACAATCTACCTTACTCCCCTTTGAAGAAAGGAAACAGCTAAGACAGAAGCTCAGCATCATGTAAATATTTGCCACAAACTAGATAGTCAATGCACATGTAGACTAAGATAACTGAGTATGTTTTGATACTATTAAAAAAGAAGTCTATAATGTGCTTCCACTTGGAGTTTGAAACTGATTCCACCAAAATTCAACTCTGGCCACCTTGATTACTTTGGCAGAGTTCCAGTTATTATTAGTATTATTATTAACCTCTTGCTGAAACTCACCCTTTTCTCCCCCTATATCTTCAATACAGAAAAAGGTTTATGAATTTACAAGACAGAGAGAGAGCAAAGCTCTTCTATAAAATGTTCCTCAGCCTTCAAGTAAATAAGTTACAGGGTAGAATATAAACAGAGTCCAAAAACTAACTTACAAAAACTGAGTACTTGGTATGTTACTTCTAAGTGGTGTGAAGAAAGTTACAGAATGTTCCAAGCTATAGTGACTAAAAAATTTAAAAAAACATACTTCTGCAGTGTCACTTTATTAATTATTATAACCCCAGCAGTAAAGGCAACATAAGTGCTCACAAGAAAACAGGGAGCCAGAGGTGGTAAGAGTTTGTCTGCCAAAACGACCAGCAAATTTGAACAGTCATTTTGACAAATCTTACAGAACAGAGATTCTGGAAGACGAAGAGGTCGATGCTTTCCAGTGGAAGAGGGCTGAAGGACCCTTAGATACGACCTGAGCACACAAAAACTCTCACAGCCCAGTCACTACTGATTTCTAAAATGAGCTCTTCTAGGCCTTCAACTGTTACTGTGAACCTCCACCACACGGACCCTGGAGGGTTCAAGGCAAAGGTTATATTTTGAAAAACATGAACTCTAAAAAAAAAAAAAATCCCCAGAAGTTACCAAATGGCTTTTATCCAGGGCATCACCCATATCAAAAGCCATCACCATATTTACAAAAAGAGGAGAGGGGAGCTCAAACCAGTTTTCAGGTGAATAGAAGAGGGGTGTTCGCTGCCCTCCATCTCTCGGGGTTCATGCACTGCCAACTGATGAGACCTAAGCTAACGCAAAAACACTAGGGACAAAATATTCAGATCAGCACACGCATTCCACAGTCAGAGATCCATGACAACCATTAATATCCCCACACTGAAATCCATAGCTCACTACATATGCATGGAAGTTTATTTCTGAGAGCAGGTGCCTGCCTGCGTGCACTCTGTCAGCTCTTAGAAAACACACTCGCCGGGAAATTACCTAGTCTGTGCGCTTTCTTTTAACGCCAGCAGATTATTGTTATTATTTTTTTTCAAGTTCTAGTCCCTACCACGCCGTTGTTGCACAGGCAGCACAAAGCGTTAGAGGTGTGCTTGACAGCGCTGCGGAGGGCAGGCGTGCCGGCCCCGCCGCCTCCCTCCCCCGGCCCCGCCGCACGTGTGTGAGCAGCGAGGGCACCACAGAGCTCCAGAGCACGGCACACACCGCCGGCACAGCGCGGTGACAGCGAGGAGCAGCGGCCGGGAGCGCCCAACACGTGCACGGGCGGTGACAGCGGCGTGCCCGCGGAGCGCCGGTCCCTGCGGAGAGGCGCGCCCGCTCCACGGACACACACACGGACACACGCGGCTGTCCCGGCCCCGCGCAGGCCGCTCGGCCACCGGCGGGTATAGCTGTCACCACAGCCGGGCAGCGACAGCCCGGCACCCACCGCCCGCCGCCCCGGCCCGGCCCCGCTGCGCCACCCGCCGGGCCCGCGGCCCAGCGGCCCCTCGGCCACCGCTGCCCCGGGGCGGGGAAGGACCTCGGCCCCCGCCTCCTCCTCCTCCTCCGGTGGCCGAGCGGGACCGGGCCCCGGCGCCCCCCTGCCCGCCCCGTGCGGCCGCTCACCCCACGACTCCCTGGCTGTAGTTCCTCTTCTTCCAGGGGGTGCCGGTGTAGAGCGGCTCGGCCAGGCCGGGCTGGGCGCGGGCGGCCGGCTCGTCGGCCGGGGCGGGGGCGCGGCCCAGCAGCAGGCTGTAGTTGAGCCCGAAGGTGCTGGCCTTGTTGTCGCGCTTCCTCTTGTTGCTGGCGGCGGCGGCGGCGGAGGCGGCGGGCGGCGCCCCCCGCGCGGGCCGGGCCCAGGCGGCGGCCCCCGGGGGCGGCGAGGCCTGGCGGTGCCCGCGGCTGTGCGGGTTGTTGGCGCTCTCGAGCGGCAGGAAGTCGGGCGGGGGGTCGGCGCGGGGGGCGCGGTACATGCCGGGCGGGGAGGCCGGGCCGGCCGCGGCGGGGGCGCTGCTGCTGCTGCTGCTGCTGCTGTTGCTGCTGCTCCTGCTGCTGCTGCTGCTGCTGCTGCTGCTGGAAGTAGAGGTTGCGGACCCCCTGCGTGGTCTCCCAGATCTGCATCCACAGGCGGTTCGAGGGGCCGAGCTGCTCTGGCTGGAACCAGGCTATCCGGGGATCCATCAAACGGGGACCCACCCCGGCTGCTCCGCTCCCCGCGCCGCGCCGGCCGCCGCCGCCGAGACCCTGTCAGCGGGTCCCAGCGCTAATGGCGGCTCCTATGGAAGGGCAGCTCCGCGCCTGCCTGCTCGCTGCTGCCGCCGTCGCTCCACAGCCCCCGCCCCTCCTGGCGAGCGCGGCGAGGCGGGGCCGGGCCGGGACAGCCGCCGGCACGCGGGGCCGCGCGCAGCTCGGGGGGCGGCGGCGGCGCCCCGGCCGCTCCCCCGGCCCCGGAGCCGAGCCCAGCCCGGGGCACGGCCCGGAGCGCGGCCCGGGGCCGGCAGGCTCCTCTCTCGGCACGGCCGGTGCGCGGCGGCCCCGCGGGGCAACAGCCGCGCTCGGAGGGCCGAGCCCTCGCACCGGCCCCGCCGCTGCCAAACCCGCCGGGCACAGGGACAGGCGGACCCGGACCGGCGTCACCCCGACAGCCGCCGCTGCTCTCCCCTAAAACTGCTCCGGGGGTGGTCACAGATACTTCTGGCTCTTCCTGCCTTGCATTCAACTCCAAAGCAGAGGAAAAGGCAGCGCTAGGTACAGCCCTGCCTGCAGATAGAAAAACACATCACACACACACGACGCCCCAAACAGCAACACGGAGTAGTGCCAGTTCTTGTCAGACTCCAGTTCTTAGTGTTTTCGTACTACATCCTTAAAACATCTTTAATATCGGCTACAAAGTTTCCAGCACGCTCTGCATGGAGGGCCTGGTGCTTCTTCCCCCAGTTTCAGAATTGGATGGGAGAGGATTTCTCTTTAGGAAGCTGGAGGTGGAGGTTTTGGAATTAAAAAGTCACATTCCAATTCCAAGCGTCCCACGAAGTTTGCAAAGAAGAAGACTTAGCACCACTTCCTGGTGACAACCAAAGCCTGAAGTTTTGGCTTCTCCCCACCATCGCAGAGCAGGAGATTTTGTCCTCAACCCTCCTCTGTTATGTCACAGCATGTCTGATCTGCATTGCCCAAGAGAAAACCACAGCAAGAAGCTGTGGCTGAAATTTGGGGTTTGAGGTGACAAACTTAACTCCTTTTAAAATTAGGATTTGTACCTAAACCTACTACCAAAAGCCAAGTGGAAGCTGGTGGGACTTTAACACATCTTGGAAATGGGGAAAGCCCACTATGAATAACCCTATTTTCCAAATCCCATATTCTTCAGTTATTCTGAGAACTATAAGCATAGCAGGAAAAGATAATGAGAAAGGTCTATTCTAATGTTTCCTGCACATCAAAGATGCAAATAAAAAGGTTTCAATTCATAAACATTTTTTTAATGCAACAAAGAAAAGCGTTAGTCAAATAAAGGGTTTTGTTATCCTTAAGGAGATAACAGTAACAGAAGAAAAAACTGGTTTGTTTTCTTTACTTTTTAAATAAAGTTAATTCTGCAAAACCCCACGATTTGGTCTACACTTGCAGCACGTAAATACAAACAAGTTTTATTATAAGACTGAAGTTTATTAATTTACAGGATTCCTCCGCAGCAACCCCAGTCCCAAGCAAACACAGCCAGGACATGATACAGGTGGTGTAGTACAACAAATGCTTAAGATCAGGAAGTATAGCCAGGGCTAGGCATAAAAAACAAACAAAACCCACACTTAAATATGGTTTGGAGTGTTTTGTTTAATCAACACTCTGAATTTAACTCTTTTACTTACTAAAAAGAGAACTTGCCAGAAAAGGTTATTTAGAAACATCATGCATTTACTGGCTGAATCAGCCATTCTTCCGTTACATTCTGGAAGTGCTTTTCACTCTCCATTTGAAGGGGAGGGGAGGAGGAAAGAGGCCAATGCAATATTCCTCAAAAGTTTAAAAAAAAATCATATGCAGAGGAGAGAGAAAACAATCCTTGATGGGACTTCTATCATAACAGGAACACAAAGCTGGAGAAGGTTTACTGAAATCCCAGTGCATCTTGAAGCGTTGGTACATGATTGATGTGAGCAGCTTGCAACCCCAGGGCTGCATCAGGACTCTCCTTGTGTTGAGAACACGCAGCAGCCACAATCATTCCAACTGCATTTGGATTGTTACAGTAGGATCTTAGTTCACTTCCCAAGCTGTTTGATTTAAGGCCATAACGTAACAGTGATGCAAGTTCCTGAAACCCAGATTTGAGGGGAAATAAAAAGGCATCTTACCATTATCCTTTTGTTTGCAAGTCTCAAACTATGTTTTCTGTGGTCACTGAACTATATCTGTATGTATGACAAAACGCCTCTCACAGAAACAAGAAACTTGCAAAAATAACACAGAAACAAAATCAAATTGAAGTGAATTGACTTAAACACCTCCTATTTTTCCCAGAAGGTACAAAAATTAACTGTTGAATCTATTTGGAAATTAGACCAAAAAAATCCCAGTACTCAAGTAAAAGCTGCTTCAAACAGAAAGGTTCACCATTATTGTCAGCCCTGGTGGAAAAACTTCAAGTTCCTTAATCTGACCTGACTGTCAAGAGTTTTCAGTTTTTGCCAAATACCTTAACGTTATGTATCTTAACAGCATGTCCAGCTCAAACTATATTTAGACTGTTTGTTCAAGTCACCTGTGCCAAAAAGAAACAATTACATTATTTTCAATTACCACTGCCATTGCCTGAATTAGAATTTGCAACAGTAAATGTAAGGCTAGACATTTCTATCCAATCCTCTGGAAAGGCTTCTACTGAAAATCATTTCCTAAGAAAACAGAACTTGAGTTTATGGGCATTTTTGGTTGGTTTTTCGATGTTAATATTCCACAAGATACGCATTTCATTTATAATATTAAAACTACAAACAAATTTTACATTAATTTGTTTTCCAACACAGTTCTTATTTTGTAATTTTATTTTTTAATCTTTTAATTTTTAATATTTTATTTTAATCTCACTTTTTATATATTTTTCTCTTAAAATACAAATATAAACCCAAGCCAAGTAGTACTAGTTGAAGATATTCTTGTTCCTCTGAGATGACAATCCTTAAAAAAACCACATGCTATGCAAAACAATACCTTCAACACACACCATAACCCCCAAATAGTTCAGCTATTGACTCTATTGTGGTAAACAGCCATCTTCTGAATGTCAAGGCATGATGTATAAAAAAAGTACTTCACAACAAATGCCCATTTAAATCTTGCCACTTGTTTCTTTTTGTAGAGAGCAAAAATAAAACCACACAGCAATGATAACTCCTTCTCTACGCAGCTGGGGATTCAATATTTTGCAGGCTGCAGAAACCAAAGCAGCAGCAAATGCCAGGGTCCCACTGCTTCTGAACAGGGCAGGGGGCCCACAGCCCCCCTCACACTCTTTACCTGATACCACAGACCGATGTAAATTCAGCACCTATTCTGGAATTACATCTTAAGACCCAGATTCTGTTGTGCTCAGTGTCAGACAGGGAGACAAATAAAGCAGCAATCCATGCTTTCCAAGGATTGCAGTTTTTAACTGAAGTACAGACAGATGATGCCTTAGGGACCAGAATAAGCAAACAAATTCAGATACCTGTTTTGATACCAGTCTTATCTGTGTGATTACATGAACTGATGAAGATCACTTAAATCTCTTTATTTAGCATCTCTTTACTTATGCTGCACACTGCCTAAATCACTCCAATTTCTGCCACCCTTAAAGTGTCTTCAAGATCTGTCTTTCACTTTGTAGACTGTCAAGGATCTTGCCTTCATCTGAGGCTAACCCAAAACCTATTAAAATAAACCAGTGCCAAAAGAGTGCCCAAAACATTTAATTTGCACATCATCACTTCTGCTGCTGCCTTAATTTTCCGTAATTGTGTCAGAACAACTTTCATAGCCCTAATCTTACAGCTTGGCTCTTCTGTACCTATATATCTCATTTGGCTTTAGGCCCTGATCTGACACTTCTTTAAATCACTGACAACTTCCTTGTCTTTCATAGATGCAAGTCTTCAGAAGTTGTCCATGTCTATTATTCCCATCTTGTCCCTTAGAAGCACGATGTGGTCTCTAAATTAACATACAAATTTTTCGCCTCTCATTCAGACAAAAGCCCTTCATTAGCCATCAGGAACAAATTACACTGAACTGGCAGCTGGGCAGATGATAGAGTAAGATTTTTCCCATTCAGAGAAATAAAAATACAGACATCAAAATATGCAGTTGGCTTATGTTAGAAACCCCAAAGGAAGATGAGGGCTCCATTTTGCCATGGGCCACTGATAAGAGCAATAGACTTTGGCAAAGACCTTACAACATGGGGTATTAGGGAATCACATCTAATGTCATTAATATTAGCGACAGAGTACAAAAACACCTCCCAAGAGCTACAGCTCACCTCTCTACCACCCAAACACACCTGGTGAGCTGGAGACAGGGCCACCTGCTTGTCAGTGTCTCATGCCCTCATCCAAACAGGCCACCAAAGTGCTCTGGTCTCCTCAGATGGAACAGATGAAGGGATTGTTTTAGGGTTTGTATGTCAGGGGTTTAGTACAAACTTGCAAGAAAACAAAATGATTTCCCATATCCTCATTTCTCTTTTAGCTATTCGCTTGAAATGGCATGTGTACCAGAAGACAGAAGCAAGTATTTTAAGCACTAAAAATCATATACTTCTGCAAGCAATATGGTTCATACTATGCACCTAAGACATTCCATTGATCAGTGCATAGCAAAAAAACAATCTCTGCATTCCTACTGCCAGAACAGTGTAAGATCTAAATTCAGTTTGGTTTTTTCACTTGAAGGAAAAAAACATGGTCTGATAGATTGTATTAAGAAAATCATTTTTTGTTGTGGATGCCCTATCTTCTATATATTTATCTGCAACTTTCAAATTTGTATTTGAAGATGAAATGTTTCTTCTCATTATTAACTAAAAGAAAACCCCTAAACAGAAAACAACATACTTTATTTTTCTAACAGTCCCCAGGAACCAGATTCTGACTGCTACACTTGATGTAAAATGTAAAGTCCTACATTTGGGACAGAGTTATCCCTCGAAACAGAGCAGGCTCTTGATTGAATGACCAAAGAGCAGCTTTGGAGAGATGGACCAAAGGGTCCTGTATTGGCAGGAGCATGGCCAGCAGGTTAAGAAAAACAATTACTTCCCTCTATTTAGCACTTATGAGATCACATTTGAGGAAGTGTGTTCAGTTTTGGGCCCCTTAGTACAAGGCACAGTACAGCAGGTCAAGCAGAAAGCCATTAAGATGGTTAGAGGTTTAGAACTCTAGCTAGTACAAGGAAGGGCTAAGGGAGCTGGAAAAGAGGGGAATTTAATTGTTTTCAGCTACCAGATGGGGGTTATGAGATGAAGCCAGACTCTTCAAGGTGGTGTGCAAAGGACAAGAGGTGCATTTGCAGCAGGGGGAAGTTCTACAAGGCACAAAGGGGAAAAGGAAAAAAAAGTATTTCAAGTGAGGGCAGTCAAGCCCCCAAGGCTGCCATAGTTGTAGGATTTCTATCCTGAAAGATGTTCAAGGCATAGCACAACCTATCTGACTCCAGAGACTATACTACGAGACCTCCAGAGATCCTTTCCAATCTAGATCATCTTCCAATTCAATGCAGCACTCAGAAACTGAGAGCAGAACTTCCCACAACAAAGTCCTTTGAGGACTAAACAAATATTACCTTTCATCAGGCTAATATTGTACTATCCTCAGTGAACAGCAAGTATAACTTAGCACTAGGATTAAAATCCACACACTGTGTAGTCTTATGCCATAATCCACCTTTCCCCAGGTGTTACACTCCGGCCCTTTTCACTGCCTGCCCTGCTAAATTCCTGGATAACCTCTCAACCATGCTCCTCACAACTTCTCCTGGATTTCTCCAGGCCATGCTCAGTGACCCTGGAGCCCTCCCAGTCCCACACTCTCACTCGTTTGGTTAGCAGGCATCGCGTCACACATTTCATCCAACTCCTCCAAAGTCACAGTACTGACATGACTTCCAGGCACTAGAGCTGCTTAAACTCATCTTTCACTTTCTCTTGCATTTGACAAAATACCATATGCCAGGATTTCATAAAGTCAGTCATTTGCAAGTTATCCAGTCAGCTCCCAAGTCTGCTTTCCAATCTTAGAGACTGAAATCTAACAAACTGAGCAAATTTGGTCTTTAAAAGTTCCATGCTTAACACCATGGGCAAAATTTTGCCAAAAACTATATGCCTGTGCTAAGACAGTGCATTTAAAGAGAGGGAAAAAACCCCCTCCTATTTCAAAATGCAGCACAACAAAACACTTTTGTGTTTGGTTGTGTTTTGGTTTTTTTTTCTTGAGAAAAATGTGTATGAGAATGAATGAGAGAATCTCATTCAAAGAAACAAAACCAAAGTTCTTGATATATGGAAGTTTACATACAATCTTCAAGAATTGGTGACATTTTTTGAAAATAACAGTTTCTGTATTTTAGAGCTTAAAAATCTCCATTACAAATATTTCTAAAAGGTATTTTAAGCAATTATAAACTTACTTTAGGTAATACCTCAATATAAAAAATGCTTTTTATTTGGCTTATTACTTCCTTGAATTCAAATTCACCCTGACGTAGAATTACAAGGAAGAATGTAAATTAGGAGATTTGATTTTCAGAAACACCAATCGAAATAAAGTAAAACCAGGGAGCTGTGTCTAACTGTAGGATCTGCTTACACAGATTTCCACAGCAAAAAGCTATCATAGTGAATTTATCATGAATGAATCTGAAACAGTTTTCTCCTCAACAAACCTCATGAAATAACAGAACCAAGTGCTGACAGGAATCTACACACACTTGTCACAAACTTCTCTTGGGAAGCCTGCCATAAGTGCCTGTGCAATTCTAGGAACAGGTAAGAGCAAACAGCAAATATGAACATTCTGCCACTGCTCGATTCCCTTAAGTATTTCCTGAGCTTTTTAATTTTTTTTCCTGATCTGGCACATCACCGAGAATATTCTCTAAATTACCTTTTCATGCAATTGTAGTTTTCTGCCAGGGTACATGAAGACTTCTAAATGACGACAGTGGTGCTGTGTACAGACCTCAGGGCTGCAGGAGCACCTTCTTATCACTGCAACCATCTCAGAGTATGCTACAGGTTTTTTTATGCTGGTATGACTTTCACATTGCATCAACCCAAGTGTATAAAAATACTGAACATTACAAAATGTAGTATTAACATTAAAGCAAAACTGCTCTGCTCAGTAAATTTTAGAAGTTCAAAATGGTTATATTTTTGAAAACATTACTCAATAAGGGAAACCTTAAAAGTCCCTCGATGTTTCAAGTTGGAGTTTTCCCTAGTGTCTCCTGATATGCAATGAATCTTCTCAAATTCATCCTCACATTGTCAAGAACACACAGTTGATCAGCACTATATTGTCCTTTGCCTTCTTTTCGCATCTGTAAAACCAAAGAAAGTACATGCTTTACTAATGCAGAGGTTTCTCCTGTCAGATCACTTCAAGTTTACAGCAATTCTGTATATAGGTCTTCTGTCAGGATATGCTACCCATGGCTTTTGAGAACTCCAAGGTGCTCACATGTGCACATGCGGAGCTAGTCAATTTACTATAATACATTGCTGCCTAAAATTAAGCTATTGGTATCATATTTCATTCAAATACCTGAAACATACACTTCTTTTCTGCAGCTTTTTATATGGAAAACCTTGCACATCTAAGGAAACAACTGAGGCACCATCAGGTATATATTTTGTGTGTATAGTGCTTAGCTTTTAGATTATGACAGTCACTCCTCGGGCTTCATCTGACCAAAGAAACAATATGTGACCATCATTCCCTAAGACAAGCATGTACCTAAAATTACAGTTTAGAATGCTGGCCTTGTTATTCTTGAAAACACAAAATACATGGTTTCAGTTAACCAACAGCAGAACAAAAGTATCCACTTGCAACTACAAGAAGTAAAAAACAAAAGATGTCAATGTAACTTCAGAAGAGACTTCTCTCCCACCAATTTAGCTGCACTCCTCCAGAGACACCTGCAGGATTTTTTTACAAATGTTTCTGAACAATGTAGTGATTTGGACATCAATAATACTGACAGTGTATTGCAGATGTTGCAACAGAGGCGCTGCGCCTTGACAGTTCCATGAACTTTAAGGTATTTGCTTTCCTCTAAAGTGGAATATCAGAAAATCACACACTTTTTGGGTTTTTTCCATCTCTTCTAGGAGCCCAAATCTCAAAGCTTTAATGCACATTGTGTGTTGAGACCCTGAGCTGGCTGCATTCGAATGCCTACCCTTGTTCTGAACACTGGCTGAAATTCCTTCAGTGTTGGAAGCAACTTGATCTGCACCGCTGCCTTTTCTGCTTCTTTACCATCTGCAAATACATCAAAAAGTGCATCCAAGGCTTCCCCTGCTACAACAAGAGAAGATTCCTTCATAGCAACTTCAAGAAGAAATTTTCCAATCATCTGAAATAAGAGAGAAAAAATGATTTTTCAACAAGGGAAAATCGAAAGAAATATCAAAATTCATATAGGTTTGCAATGCAAAGTTTGCTTTTTCACCTTTAGCGTTTCAGCTGTATCTTGTCCTTTTGCCAGGACGCTGCCAGAAATTCCAAGGATGCTCACTGCATTCACTCTAACACTGGCATTGCTGCTGTGAATACCAGCCTCACATAAAGCCAACAGCTGCTCAGGAGTCATACACTGCACAGCAAGGGAAGGGAGGGAAAAAAGGAAGACATTTACACTTTCGTGGACATTTTCAAATGTGACATTTAGCTACTCTGCTTTTCCAGAACACAGGGAAATTTATAACAGAGAAATAAAGAGCCCTGGATTATGAAAACTACGTGAATTCTGAAAACGTAATTACCAAGAAAACAGTCAAATTCTCCCTTTTTATTTAAGGTGTTTCTTCCAGAATATAACAAAGGCTGTCATGAAGGTGAAGGAAAAGTTCTAAGCCCAAAGATTTTCACAAATTTACCCTGCTCAATAGCTGCTTCCACCTCATCATAACTAACAGTACAGAAGCTCTCATTTTTCAGTTTAAGGCCAGAAAGGACCAGCAGACTAGTATTATGTCTTGCATAACAAAATGCTTCATTCTTGTATTTAGCTCACTAATTCATGTCCAACCAAGATTCTAGCACAACCAGCTTCAACTAGATGACATCAAGAAATAAAGAATGCACGTTTCTAGGTGCTAATTTACTAAATATTTGTCATTATACCTATCTCCTGAAGATATTACCTGTTTTTTCTGGTTTTGAAATACCTTTCATTTGTTTATGTGTAAGGAAGAGGTAAACAAAAAAGTATTCCTGTAAGGTCCGTGAAAACCCCAAAGAGTTGATGCTATTAAATCTGTTCCCTCAGTGTCTGCACCTGCTAAAATTTTGCACTGCGTTTAAATATTTTTGTTTCAAAAACCTTCCAGCCCAATCTCACACAAATTTGAACCTAACAGAGCATTCAAATCTGAAAGCTTTTACCTGGGAGATGTTCTTTGATGCCGTTGTTTGCAGGAGAGCCCTCAAAGCACTGGTTATGGCTTCCAGGAATTCTGTGTCTGCAGGGAGTTCTGTGAAAGAATTGAACCCAGACACAGAAGTTAAACAGTGAGATGAGGGACACAGGAAGCAAAGAAATACAAATGCCTTAATCCTGTAATTGTTCCTCCAGGTACTACCACAACAGGAAAAGCCAGATTTTCAGAGTAGTCTCTGTAGGCTGTAACCATAGCAATTTGTTGGAATTCAGTATTAACTGCATCTAGAGGTTAGACCACAGCTGGTCCTCATTTTCAGGCACATCCCTGGTTCAGACACTTGTGAGACTCAAGGTATGGTACAAACCAGTGTCATCAGAACAGCAGCTTGAAAACTGGTATAACATGGAGGCCACAATATAGGAACTGAGAAAACTGCAGAAGCTGACTGTGTATTTTACCTCCTTTCTTCTGCCTTCTTGAGCAAGCTTTTTAGACACCCAGAACGTTGGACTCTTTCCAATTCATATAAAGAGCATGTTTTCCGGTGGTTTAATAACATTTCAGGAATGTATGACTCAAACACTGCATTATTCTTGTTTAACTACAAACTCATCAATACCAGCCATCACCTTCAATGAATGTTCTGCACTTCTTCAGGCTTTTTATTTTCTTTTAATGCATTCTTGTTTTCTGGACCATTCCAGATGCAGAACATTTCAATTAATGCAAAGTTCCTCCCTCCCCATGTAAGCAACTAGATCTTTAAGCCTCTTTTTCACCCTGTAAACCACAGGATTCCTTCTAACCACATGTTGGTATTTTATCAACTCTATCTGGCAGTATCCATTACATAGCATTTAACCATTAAAAAATGGGCCCAGGCCGTCAAATTAGTTTTATTAGCACCATCTGTCCTCAGCTTACAACTTCTCCAGCTTCCTCTGAGAACTTTCTGACTATTGCAAAGCTTAATAGGTAGATCCAAAATCTTGGAAGCTGTCTCTTTAAGCATAAGACTAGTATGCTATGTGAACATCCTTGCGTATGTCTTCACTGATATTTTCATTTCTGCATTTTAGTTTTTCAAGAACTACACTCTCAGTAGCAATGTTCCCATGGACTGATCACATGCTTTTAAAGACACCGAGAAAAAAGTGTGTTTTGCAGGCAGATGCATTTTCAAACATTAATGCAGTGTCATTCTACACACTACAGCAAAGAACTACAAATGCTGCATCTGTGGCTACAAAGGGAGACACTGGAACAAAGGGAAGGAAACTGAGCTTCTCGATCTTCTAAGAGACAAGAAATGACAAAGCCACACATACGCTCAACTTCAACAGATCTGTCTCAGGGAAAATGTCTTCTGACAAATTTGAGAATTGGCAGGCTTTTCCAGCCTCCAAGAATATCTCTTCTCTTTTGAAAAGCCATCATCACTTACCTTATAACAAAAACAGATTATCAGAACAGTCTGCATGAAGCCAAGCCTGTCAGGGACCCAGATCACCAGGGAACCATATCATCAGTTTGGAACCAGCTGGGGTTTTCTTGCCCGCCCCCCTCTTTTTTTTTTTGTTAAATCTCAGTTCAGCTTCTCTCATGTCAGTAACAGAGATCACAGAGTAAATGGTCCAACAGGATTATTGAAATGATGCTGATCTCATGTATAGGATTCCAGGAAGTGGCTGGAAATGCCAAGTGCTGCACAGACCATCCAATAATAGTGATACTATCAGATGTATGGGGAAACCTTCACAGTATCTCTATGAAATAATGCACCTTGGAGGATCTATAGTGGATATATTCTAGTGTTTACCAGGATACATCACAGAATCAATGAGGCTGGAAAAAGACCTACGAGATCATCGAGTCCAACCTATGACTGACCACGGCACTCAGCGCCACATCCAGTCTTTCCTTAAACACTTCCATGGACAGTGACTCCACCACCTCCCTGGGCAGTCCATTCCAATTCTAAATATATTAAATATATATATATGATATTCTAAAATAGTATGAAATTTATTACCTTCTCCATTGAAATCAAACCAGAACAGGACATGGAGTAGCTTTAATATTTAGTCATAAAAACGTTGCACGTTTTCATACTACAAATATCTTTTCAATAAAGCTGTGCCATCATAAGCATAAAGCATGTCCTGGAGACAAGGTGGCTGCTCTCTTTCCTACTATAACAACCACGTACATTTTCTTTTTTTGCAACAACCGCCTTTGCTATAAATTTATAAGATTCCTAGAAAAAAGTTATGTGAAAGATTGCGCTAGATATCCTCTTTTTAACATCTCTTTAGGCAAGCTAGCCAGCACATTCAAAAAAATGCCCTATCTTCTTCATGGCTTGTCTGATTGATGAAAAACTGTTATCACAAACATGATCAAGCAAAGAGTTCTGGTCTCAGCAAGGCAGGATTCATCCACTAAGTGATTTTTTTGTGGACCCAGATGTAAAGCAGATTCTTGCATTAAGAGCAGACTTGCTTGAGGTGCAGTTTGGATAAACACATCTTATCAGGACATATTGTTTTTCCAGCACATTTCCAACAGTCAGTATCCTTATACTGAAAGACCAAAGAGATACAATTAGTAATTAAATGGCATTAGAACTTAACTTATATGGCTACCTTATACCTATATGATCAGCAAAGGGGGTCAGCAAGTCCCCTCTACTAAACATCTTACCTGTTTTAGAAAAGATCAGCTGTGAGAGATGCTGTGAAAGGGACTGAAGTGCTGAAGCTCCTCCAAGACAATCCACATCCGACACTAGCAAAATGCTATGAAGACATGTTAAAGCTCTGCACTGCACTGCATTCAGTCTGAAACAAACAAAAAAAGCACTTAGCAGATCCCTTTGAAAACACATTGAAATATACATAAGAATCTTGAATTAATTAAGTCTGTGATCTGATGTGCAGTTTACAAAAGCATTTTTATCTCTTTATTCAAAATCATATATCAGATCTGCCAGTACTCAGATCTTAAAAGTAACCCAAAGATGGAAAATCCTTCTAAGAGTTCTAAGACAACTGAATATAAATGAAAAATAGTAAGAGAGACAATGAAATTCCTACTTTTTAATTAATGGTTTCCAAGACGGATTGTGCATACAGATGTCTAGAGCAACACTGTTCGGAAAAGCAGTTTTTTCAAGAATCTGAGGAGGGGAAAAAGAAATGTTTAGCAATAAAGCCTTTTTTTTAATATATTTTGTTATAGTGTGTTTGGAGGGAAGACTGAAATTTTATCTTGATTCAAACAGATACTGTAAACTAGGTATTTCAAAGCTTTCCAGGCAGCAAGTGTCTCACCTGCTAAAAACGTCAGCATTTTCCTCAATCACTCAAATGGTGCAATTATACCCTGAGTTTAGCATAGCATATTAAAGGTATCTACCTCTACTGAACAACAGGTGATTTTCTAGGTCTCTGCTATTCTTTCTTATTTGGTTCTTTCTTCTTACAGATGCCACTACAGAATTTTCAGATAGCTGCAAGTGTAGAAGGCCTTGCCATAAAATTCCCGGTATTAAGTACAAAAAGCCTTCAAAGTTTTCATCTCGCACCTTAATGTCTTAGGTTGGAATTCTACAACGCTGCTGAACCAGCAGAGCAACAATTCAAATAACAAACTCCATCTTTACAACCCCAAATAAAAATGAGCAAAACAACTCTGAAACAAAAACATCTAAAATCCTGTCAGTGTCAAATACTGTCCTTCAGACACTTTCTACAAACAGGGGAAGAGGAACTTGTACTTTTTCAGTGCTGACTGTTGCCATTCACACGTTACTTCCACCTCATTTAGTTAATATGGAAATCTGGCAGTCATGTTTTGCCGAAGTTCCCTTTCTTTTGGCAGGTAATCTTTTTCATGTCCAAATCAAGGACTAACACCCTTTGTATTTTGGGAAAAAAACCAAAAAAACCAAAAAACAACAAATTAAAAGAAACTCCACCAGCTTTCTGAAACGCTATTCTGTTTCAACTTACATGAAGAATTGTTTAGGTCAAGACAGCTCATGCAATGATGCACTGTCTCTAGGCCAAAAAATGTGAAGCTAAACTAAAAAAAAAATATTTCTTTCCTTCAGGTGGATTGGGATAATTTCCTTGCCTAACCTGAGATATAAAGCAGGAAATAGGGGAAGACTGTGCCATGTGTTGGAAATAAAACAGAAAACACTACCTTCTTTGGAATGAGGTTGTTCAGAAATGCTGAGTGAACCTCATCAGAGAGGCACAGGGGAGTCATCAGCAGCCCCCCTCCCTCATTGTATGAGTTTTCCATGAACAAGTCACTTTCATCACTGCTGGAGAGTTCTTCCCACTCATCATCAGAGGGATCTGAGGACACAAGACAGACTTGTAAATGTAACAACCCTCACACAATAGGTATCCTACTTCTCAATTGTACTCGACTCCACCTCTTAGTTTAGGAATCTTTAAGTTCTTGGGCTCTATGAACTCCTCACAAACCAAGTGCCACTAAGCCACAGTCCTAAATATTTTATGAAAAAGATATTTTATATTCACTCAGGCAACAAGTATTCTCATGAGAGAGGCTCTTCATACACAGGTATTTTAATCTGTGATATTAACAATGGGTCACTTAAAAATATCAAAAAAGGTATAGAAGAAACTTCATAAAGATTTACTAAGATTTGAATTTGGATTGCACCGTTTCAATTTTTGAGGTAGATTCAAGCATCAGATACACTGGTTTAACTGTACTGAGTAAAAAAGTTAAGGTAATTGTTTCCTCTAGCAGTACTGAAGCCACAGACAGATGTCCTCTGCCTGGGCAGTAACTGGGCTGGATGAAGATGTTACTGTCTCCACAGCAAGGCCACTTGAAAGGAAAAGATGACAGCAAAACAAGCCAAAGCAAGCTAAATAACCTCTGACAGTCATTTCAGGCAACATATTTAAAGTAAGTTAAGCTAGGTTTAGTCTTAAACCTGAACTAGATTTATACTTACAGATCTAGTAGAGTAAGTCATGTAAGGGCAATCACACGTGGTGAGAGGAGCTGAGGTCGTATTACCAACAGGCTACTGTAAAGTGAATAATCTGTCCACAGCTAAAGCCAGGCTTGGCCTAACAAGCACAAGCTCACTTCATAATTTATATTTAAACTGATATAACCACGTCCACAGGGTTCACACAGATTTATCAAAAGTTGTTTTAAACCTGGTTACATTTTAACTGGTGTTTACCCAGGTCCTAAGTCTAGAGGTTGGACTGATCCTCCTCTCTAGACGATGAAAGCTCTGCCTGCGTACACAGGTCAGGACATTTAACTACTGCAATGAAAAAATATCAGATTCACCAAGTAATCTCGTCTAACAACACAGATTCTCCTGAGATGTAGGAGGTCCTGTAGTAACTATAGTAACAGCCATGCCACTTCCATGGCAAAAGGTAAAGTCACTTAAAATACAGCAAGAAAGATGTAAATTAATGCATTTCTCCTGTACCGTGCAGAAATTAAGAATTTATTTGAAGGTCGTGGCTATTGTTTATCTGATGCAAAGTAACTCATCAAGCTGCAGCAACTTGACAACACAGGTATCTTCTGTTACTTATGGTAATCTCAAATTAATTCTGCAGCCATAATACGTTGGTGTTAACAGCCTTTCCATGAGAAAATGGTTGTCTTTTATGTTTTACCAGGCCATGGCAGCAAGAAACATGAAAACAAAGCAAACATCCCCTTAAGTCTCTTGCCTCTTGCAGAAAAATTCCATGTGCATCTTTACAAAGCAAATAAAAATCTCCTTTGAAAACTAAATGATAAGAATATGAGCTGACAATGCAACTCAGCAACAACAAAGACAGCAGTGACCAGGGCAGAGCGGGAACTGTGATCTAGAACATCGGCTATGATCACATTTCTTGTAATGTTCTGGGAAACACAGAGTCATTTCCAGTGGCAATCCCATCTTAACTAGCACTGGTAACCTCTGAACTGCAGACTGGACAGCAATGCTGGAGCCTCCTGGCTTCCTGCCCATGTCCCCGTCAAGGGGAGAGCACTCTGCTTCTCCCAAACGCAGGCCAGTGCTCAGTAAAACACATCTCTTGCCAGCCTGGTTATTTCCCTCAGTTCTGTAGCAAGCCAAGTGTTTGTATGAATTCAGCATAATGGTTAAAGCTATTTTAGTCCTCAAATAACTTGAAAATTAAATGAACAGCTGCTTCTGGATTCCTCTTAATTTCTACAGCCTATGTTTCTGTCTGTCCATGAATGGGTAAAGAACTGCAGTGCAATATAACACAATCAACCTTACATTATACTGAGTGAATGGCAGAATATGCAGCTTATCCACAAGAGATTTTCCAATTAAAAGAAAAAACTTATGAATTACAGCTCATTAGATGAAAAATACAGTTATGAAAGGAGTTTCATACATGAGACACAGAATTTCCTTGCGTTGCAAGAGAAAAAAAAAAATCACCATTGGGAATAACTCGGTATTACTGTGGATTCTATCAGAACCTGAAAGTTTAACTCAGTTATCTCCTAGACAATTACTTTTGCATCAGGCTAAAACTGTAACCGAAGTTTTTAGGTGTTGAAGGATTTAGGGAATTAATTTTGTTTGGTTATCGGCATTTTTAATTAGAATTTGATAATCTCTCATTTCTTTTCCTGAAGATGAGGACAAAAGCTATCAAACCTGAGTATCAGAGTTCATAAAAGATATAGAATATCTATTTCCTACTTCCCTCCAAATAACAGCCTTTCTTCTCCTCAAAAAACCTCATGAAGGCAGAGCTCCGAAAGCCTAAATCTACATTGTTGCCAAAGTTGCATGCAAAAGTTGTATCTACTCCTAATTTTGCAACACTTGTACAATGGCCAGTCTTCGCGAGCGAAGATCCGGGGAAGGTCTTTCCACCTTCCAGCCTGCGCATTGGATTTTTTAGGTGAGACACAGTGTGCGCGGAACTGAGCCCACCCTTTAATCCTAAGGTTCATCTGCCGGGGCCAAGCGAGCTTGGACGGTGGCAGCGAGGTCCTTAGGACGTAGGTGGGTTGCCTTTAAGGGCTAACGAGCCCCACCTGCCCGGGAGTGGCCCTGACCGGGAATCGAACCCGGGTCTCCGCAGTGATAGCGCGGCGCCTTTACCACTAGACCACCAGGGGCTCCGCAACACTTGTAGTATCAACACTAAATCGAAGCTACAAGACTTATCTGCTTTAAAAAAAAAAAATCAAGGGCCCCATCCTGCAATAAGATTCACACACATATTGTATCAGAAGAACACTCAGACCACGCTCTAACCGAACAAAGATTTTACTGCAACACTTCAGGAAATATCTCTTTGCCGCAAGTGCTTTTTTGTTGTAATTAAATGTTGGCACATAGTAGTACCGTGCAAAAAAGAAAAAAAACATTTAAGCAGCATAAATCACTTAAATGAAAAAACCCACTTGAAATAGTAATAGAAATTACAACCTAATCTGCCCCCCTCTGATGAGGGTATCAGGGACAATACGCCTGAGTGTGTTTGCCTTTAAAAGCCAAGATGACTACACGTGACCTATTCAAAAACAAAACACACCACAACACTTGCAATGAAAGACATTCCTACAAACCTTCACTGCAGCACATATTAACAATGATTTCCAGAGCAGTCTGCTGAGCCGTCAGTAAAGCTGTCACTTCTTCCAGTTCCCACTTATCAGACTAGAAAATAAAAACATGAACCAAATTTGATTTTGTAAAACAACATTTAAGTGCAACTTAAATTACCCAAGCTGTCAGCTAAAATTATAGTCCAGCCATTTTCTCTTCTCATTCTACACCAAAACTTGCTAAAAGCCCCACAAAACCAAGAGGCGTAAGCTACCACATCTCTGTCGGATGTTCCAGAGCAAATTTTATCTTCAAGAAATACCATCTGCACTACAGCTGTAAGGGAAAAAAATTACCTAAAGCCCTAACAGAAACATATATTCCTGTTACCCTTTTCCCTTTGCATCTGTAAACCTTTGAGCCACCTTCACTCATGACTGAATGGCTACAAATCTCACTTGCTGTAAACAGAAATCAAAATTCCTGCAGCAGCTGCAGGTAGAAGTGTCAGGTAAGCCTATACCTTCCACTGGAGGAAAACCATGGAAATGCGCTTTCCTGATGTGGTTGTGCAACTTGGCCACATTGGAACAAGTTGTGCTGAAATTTTCCATGCTCATCTTTGAGGTTTTCGCTAAAATAGCCAAGCTATTTGAGAACCAGTGTTAGTAACACTCACAGGTCATTTCCTCTGGCCAGTGCTGAGTCAAGACTAGTCCAAAGCTCAGCCAAAAGCACAAATCCCAACAGCCAGCCAGCCACACTTACCGGAAGTAAATCTGAAACATCATTTTCTCTCCTGAGTTTTCCTTTTGGTATTTCTTCCATGTTATCATCTTCACTCAAAACACAGTTGTCCACCACATCACTCATGTTTTCCTCTGTTTCTGCTTCCACAGTAAGTTTTAACCTGTTTTTTTCAGCTTCATTCATACGAATAATTGTTTCACCAGCATCTATTGCTAACGATTCTGAAAAAATCTTCAGGATCGCATTAACCATGCTTCCCAGGCTGCCTGGTGGAATGGTATCCTTGATATTCCAGATAGTGCCTAAATATGAGATAACCAAAATATAAAAATTACTAATGTACTCAGTTCTCTGTAATAGTCATATATTTTGTAAGGACACAACCTGCACTACTTAAAATAAACAATGATTACATTCAGTATAAATGCTGAAGTCTTTGCTTTACAGATTTGTATTTTTTTCTGTTTAGCATTTCATATACTCATCTCTAATAACTGCTATGCCCACATTTTAAACTCAGGTAAATTTCAGCACATACGTAACTACAGAATATTTATGTGGACTGACCTCGGTATCACTTTGTACCTGATAATAAATCCACATGAGAGAATTTTCTAAGGATTCTCAAAATTAATTTATTACACTCCAGTATCAAAAATCACAATGGTTAAACATCCAAGGCTACAAGAAGAATGCAAAGTAGAGAATCTGAGTTAAAAATCTACACCTATTAAGATCAAAACTGCTCCTGTACCACTCATTATTGACCCGTTTCACTGCTGAAAACCAAATAAGCAGATAAAATGCTTTATCACCCTGATCAGGGACTGAATTTAGAGTCAAGTATTTAAGACAGTTTCAAAACTAGTTGTAAAATCTGTTTGCAGTTCCAAAAGGCAGATATATAACCTCATGAACTATCTGTATGGGCTTTGACAATCAGATGTCCAAACTTCAGTCGAGAAGCCTAAGCTTTCTGTGCTTCCCACCCCCCTTTACCTGCCGTGCTCCCCTTCACAGAGCAGTGAGCACCCTCGAGCACCGTACCTGCTATCAGTGTTCTCAGAAGGACATGCTTCATTGTGCTCTCTGCACACAACATCACTGTTTCCAATACTTGCTGTGCAGAAGCATTAAATGAAGAAAGAAGGTCTGGATTATCTTCTGTCACCGCCTGCAAACAGTTTGCTGCAGCAAACAACAAGAACAAACATAGTTAACAAACCCAACAGTATAGCTTTCACTCTCCTAATGAAAAAGCATTATCTTCCTGCAAGCTGGAGTAATGAAACGTTGAAAGGAAAAAAAAATTCATGCAGCATCAAGTTGTAATGGTACAACACTGCTCTCACAATCTGTGTTTTAGATTAAAAGACACTCTGTGGCAAACCTGTACACAAAACAAATGAGGACAATAACATATCAGACATGGAATTGGCTGTACTAATTTCAGCTACTCCAAAATAGATTTCTCCATTGTATACTGACTAGTGACAACATAATAAATGTTGGGACCACACACACCTGTATGACCATTGTAAGACTATAATAACAATACTACTAATAAAACCATACTGAAAGTGATAGGAGTTGTTTGGGGTTTTTTTAGATGGACTATGTCCTTTGCTCAACAAACTAAATCCTCCACTACCAAAACCCAAAACCAAAATTAAAAACACTGCCCCCCTCTAGACCCCTCTTTCCACAAAATTTTTCCTCCCATGTAACCACCAATAAGTCATCGTCCTTTGGACTGAAAACAAGCACAACAGATGCAAACTTCTGAATCATGTGCTGTTCAAAAATGAATTTTAAATCTTATATTCAGTGTAAAGCTCAGCAGTCCTAAGACAGGTGCATTATGTGTGTAAAATCAATGTTACGTTTATACAGTAAAGAAAAAAAAAGTATCTTTAAATCCTTATCTCCTCCTTTTACCACTTACCTACTGAAATAGCCAGATCCACATTTGTGGAGAATTTCTTCATGTAATGTAACACAGCCTCCAGACACCCTTCTTTATTGAATATGTACACGGCGGTGTTGTTGCATTCACTAATGTATGAAAAAGATTAATTAAAACACTTTTCCCAGGAAAAAAAATACTGTAACAATGTTTTAAGTACCTCATACTCACTATTACTCAGAGTTATAAAAACTATGTAGGAATTATGCATTAGTCAAAGAGCTATTCTTCGTTACTGAGGTTATGATCAACTCTGTGTAAATATGCTGAAAGAGAAACTGCAAAATCCTGGCCACTTTTGAGGAAAGTTGGCTTCTACCAGCTGCTTCCTCATACACAGTGTTTGGGAGTTTATTTGGGAGTCTAAATACAAATGTGGACGAGTCCACTCAGAGAGTGAAAGGAAGCTGCAGGCTATAAGCCAGCCCAAGGCTTTCTGCAGGCACAGAAAACTTCACCCACAAACCTACTGACCAGAGTTGCTGCCTCTCACATCAATATTCATTCACTCCATAAAATGACTGCTCTTATCATTCAGACATGCATTCACTTTAATTATTTAACAGTGGAATTTGTGTTTCTTCAAGCTTTCCACAGTTATTCCCTATTTTAAACTAATATATTGATATAAGACTAATTCAAACTAAAAAAATCATAGGACCTAATCGGCTACAAGGATCTTCAAATATTTATTTCTGGAAATATTATATCTCAGCACCAGTGCCAGCCCCAATTTTATCTATGCTAAGTAGCAAACTTAGCAATGTATCTATGCTAAGTAGCAAACTTAGCAATGAAGTCAGTAGTTCATGTTCATTGCCACAAAGTTCAAAATACAGAGGTGATTCATATCTCACTTAATGATTATAGTTCCTGTTCCAAAGCACTGACTACAAAAGCAAAAAAAAAAAAAAAAAAAAAAGAACACATAACATTGTTGAGTCAGAGTCACAAAGGGTCATGTACTCTGTGCAAGGTGCTGAGCATGCAGTTTCTCTACTGTTCTAGACTCCAATTCCTAAAAAAAAAAAAAAAATCCCAATTTAGAAATAAGGCCTCAAGCCAGCAGCCATACCACAGAGTCAGGCAGAGAGGCAGCTCCACTGAAACACTGTACAACACTAAAGCACACCCTGTATGCACCAAGGTGTGTAACGATGTGCAGTTGTTAAAAAATGAAGAGAAACAACACAAAACTCAAGAAAAACTTTCAGAATATGTTTTTATCACTTCAGTGTTCATAGTCATTCCTGTATTAAGTGTTGCTGTTTTTCTTCCTTCACCTGGTGTTTCCAACACAAATATTAATTGAACAATTCACATTATTTCTCACATAATTAAGTAGATTTGTATCAGTGTCTCAGTAACCAAGGGATAGTTGGTTCAAACATTTAATATTAGCTTTTGGGATGACCTGTAGAGGGAGGAAGTAGTATAAGAAGTCCTCATATTCCCAGAGCACTGGAGTCCAGATCAGAATTTAACTTTCTCCATCTCTCATAGCACAATAAGGATCTACAGGAACTGAATGCAAGACATCCCAACCCAATCCCAACCCAAACTGCACAGCAGGTTATGACAGAACATGTCCAGAAAACAAAATCAGAACTCAGGATGAACAACCAATAGAAAAAAAATTCGTCACTCTCCTAAAACTAATGACCAACTTAATGGACTTCTAGAATCCTTAATTTAAAAAAGTAATTTATGGCAGAAGATAAACCTGTATTTCCAATCAGATTAGGGCTCACCATTATTAAAGGAAGGCACATGTAGGAGCAACACAATCAGAAATCAGAATCAGCAACTGGATACATCTTCCCATGCCAGGACAGTCATTTCTTTTCTGCCTCAATTACCAGGCTACTTTTCAGGAATAATTTAATTTAGTTTGTCTAAAAGGCCAGTGTTTACACAGCACTTACCATATATTCCACAGCAAATTAATAGCTTCATTGGCTATGTCTTCAATATAATTTTTGTTTGTCTCTCTGCATTTCTTTGGAGACAGCTGGTTAGCATCTAACTCAGTGCTACACTACAACAAAACAAGAAAACCAGTGTTGGGAAACAATCAAGCCACAGTGTTTAATACCAGAAAACCTGACTAGTTTCCTATTCTTTAAGAAAATTGGGCAATAATGGAATTGAATCATCAGCAACTTTTCTCTTGTAGAAAGACTCTTATACTATTTGCTTTGCATTCAGTAGTCTTTAGAAGAATTTTTTAATTAAAAAACTTTACAATTTTAGAACCCCAGGCGCTATTTCTTGCTAATAGTCTGTATGCCACTGTCAACAGTTCTTTCTAACCACAAAGACTAATTCAGCTAATATCTTGCTATGCTTTACAATAATGCTATTACTCATTTTAAAATGGGGAAGAAACATACAGAAAATGATGGTATTGCTCAAGGCTGCTCATACAAAGACAGATTTCCAAACTGCACTGCAACACCTGGACCAAACAAAGAACAGGTATTCAGTACAAGTTATCCTACAGTACCCAGCTGTAAACCCAAGCTTTTATTCAGACAGAACTGCTCACCAAAAAAACCACACTAGAATAATACTGCAACATAAATGTTGGACCTGGATTTTGACTGACACAATAAACTAGTCTTGATTAACTCTCCAGACCCAAAATCTCCAGACTTTTCATGCAAAAATTATCCCAGGGTGCAAGCCTCACCACAGACCAAAATTAGCTGGTCAGGAGACAGAAGCTAGTGGTGTGAAATCTCTGGAATAATTTTTGTACCATTAAATCTATTGAAAATTCTTCTAAAATATCTTTTAAATATCTTAATAATTGATTACAAAAATTTAACTATTTTTGTAAGTGGGGATAATTCAATGGCTAGATAAGTTTTAAAATCAGAATAAACACACCTCTTTCAGAAGTGCAACAAGGGGTGTCATAATGTCCTTTGTCACCATGTCATCACAGACTTCAAATCCTCCACAAGCGCTTAGATTTCTGAGGAAAACAAAAAAAGTAATGCTTTGGATTAGATACAACACTTTCCAGGAATGTTTCAAAAAATCAGATATTCTATATTCTCCTCTAAAGGTTATGGTACTTTTTGTTTTAAAATCAATTTGCTCAATCAGTAACTTTAGTCTTCTACCTACTACCAAAGAATAACTTTGGCAGTAGGAAAAGAATATTTTCACTTACTTGTCAAGCGCAACACGAAGGATTATGGGTACTAAAACATCAAGACACAAAGTGCCATATGAACTGCATTCAAGTCCTCTGTATTTCTTCATAAAGCATACATTTCCAGCATAAAGCCTGCTCCTGACATTAGAGTATCATGGAGCAAGAAAACCCCCTCTCTTGTGGACTTTAGCTGATGTGTGCATACCTACTGAGGCCAGAGCTAAAGCAAGACATGCTGGCATTCAAGTTCATGGCTGTCAACAGCAAAACCCCACTGTTTTCCGTCCTATGCCAGGATTACCCCATTCTAACTCTGCTTACCGGAGAGCACCTGCAGCTGTTTCCCGAACAGCTAAGCTGTGATCCATCAGCAACGGCCCCAAACACCGCACAACGTCCCTCTGCAGGAAGGCTGGGATGACATGCTTCTGCTGCAACAGCTTGGAAATACTGGCACAGGCATACTCTCTCACTTCAGCACTTGGATGCTGCAGCTGGGGAGACACAAACAGGGCAGATCAGGTTGAGGGAAAAGGTAGCTGGAAGCTTTACTGCTCCTGAATGGAAGCAAGAGCTTTTAACTTCCATGAAAGTTTACAAATCTTTGCCTGTGTTGTGTGTTAACTATATGACTAAATAAACACCGTTCTGGGTGTTTAACAAGAGAGCCATAGTCCAGACACAGATTTGACACTAGCTGGCACCGGTGAGACCCCATATCTACTTTCAATTACCATGTATTTAAAAGAAAAAAGGAACGAGTCGGTAGGAATATAAAACACATGACACCATAAAGAAAAATAGAAGAATTAAAAAATAATAATAAAAAAACCATAGCCTTTAGATTAAGAGCATCTGCTTAACAAAGAGAAGCAAGTGTTCTCTACATCCATAAGATGATGCTGACTTGTGCTGTAACAGGGGTTTAGGTGAGATGTAAGAATTTCAGACATAAAAATGACAGAGCAGCTGAAGTGTATATCCTGGAAGGTCATGTAGTTTGTTGAAAACCTAACAGAAAATATAAACGTCTACTGAAGAGCAGAGTAGAAGAGTGGTACATCACATCCTACCTCACTGACACTGATAGAAGTGCCTCAGCTCATCCTCACCTCTGCCTTTATATACTTTCTCTCAATTTTCAGACTAAATAGGTCAGTCCAGAAGAGTAATCAAGCAGTGATTTGTTCAATGAGTTCAGTTCGGTAAAGTGAACAAAGATTCAATTACTTGAGGGGAAAACAGATTTTTGCTTCTGATTCTAAAGTCACGTGTGCAAGACGAGTTTTACATCACTTTTCATCTGCAATGCTTAACCCAGAACCAAGACTGCGGCCTACATAAGTGGCTACAAGTCATTTTTCCGCGTTTCCATCAGTTATCCCTCACGTACGGCTCACTGACTCATCGCTCTGACCACCTGTAGAACTCTCCCGTAGAGAGGAGGAGGAGTGGCGAACAAACCCAAGCACCGCCGGAGCTGCCTCCCAGCCCCTCCCGGGACGAGGGGCAGCGCCGCCTCCCGCCCGCCGCAGGAGGCGATACCCGGGATCTCCCGGTGCCGCCCCGCCCCGCCGAGCCGCGGGCGCAGCCGGGAGAGCGCGGGGCGGGAGGGACGGGCGGCGGCCCCGCCGGGCTGCTCGGCTTGTCCCCGCCGCGGGGGCGGCCCCAACCCTCTCCCCCCGCACCCGCTGCCCCGAGAGAGGGTCGCGCCCCGCCGCCCGCACCTTGTCCAGCAGCTCCGCCGCCGGCTCCTCCTCGGGGCCGGGCTCGCCGTGCGGGCGCTGCGCGGGCCCGGCGGGGCCGAGGGCTGGGCGGCGGAACCGCCGCGCGCGGCTCTTGCCCATGGCTGCGCTCGGCGCCGGCGCGAACACGTGTGCGGCCCCGCGCACGCGCCGCCCCCGCCCCGCCCCGCCCCGCCCGGCGAGCACCGCGAGGCACAGGCCCGCACCAGGAACACCCGCACCCCGCACCCACGGAACACACACCGCAACCTGCACCCCCACCCACGGAACACACAGCGCACCCGCACCCCGCACCCACGGAACACACAGCGCAACCCGCACCCCCGCACCCACGGAACACACAGCGCAACCCGCGCACCCCGCACCCACGGAACACACAGCGCAACCCGCACCCCCCGCACCCACGGAACACACAGCGCACCCGCACCCACGGCACCCCGCACCCACGGAACACACAGCGCACACCGCACCCCGGCACCCCGCACCCACGGCACCCCGCTCCTGCCTCGGGGTACGCCGGACCTTCCCCCAGCTCAACAAGTCAATAAAAGTGTCACATGAAACAGCTTCCTCCAAGAGCACTTACAGAGGCAGGATTGACCTGTAGGGTGGAAACCCGGCTGGGGGGGTTTCTCTCTGGTGTGGCTCTTATAATCTAAGACACTGACATCAAATACGGGAAATGTTGGTCCGGTATGAAAGTTACAGACTTCAGCTACAAATTTTTAAGTTCTTCTGCGTTCGCTGAAGATCTGCATTTGCACGGTACAAAAGAAGATAGCGTTTTGTTTATACAAAGGATTTATTTTATACACATTTACCTACAAAATATACAGCAGTTAAAAATAATGCGTGGGCAGAACAATTACTGGAAAAAAAATCCAGAAGACAATTCTTAATGTCTTAACTGACAAAGTTACATCAATAGGCTGCCTTTAAAAGCCAGTCTACCCTGTAGTAGGAGTTACTGAAGTTGCAAGAGCTTTGCAGTTAGAGTCAATTTAAAGAGTTCGAAACAATTAAAAAGGCACCTTGAACAACTTAAACTTAAAACTTTAGTTTTAGCTATTCAAAAGTTACACTTTGAGCATATTTCATCCACACCTCGTTGTTAACACTCTGAATAACAAAATTGTTATTTTCCTGTGGCACTCTTTATATTTTCTTTACCAAATCTGAAGTTATGCATTTGCAATACTATTTTCATGTTCTGACTATCACAGCATAAAAATCCCCTCAGAATGTTCGGGTGGACTTTAGATACAGTACAACCTTGCAATCAGGAAGATACAAGCATATTTAAGACAACTTTTAAAATATTAAAACCTTAAAATAGCAGTGTTTTGAACCAGATCAAACAAGGAACTACGTATAACCACAAGGAAAGTGGCTGGTGCACTATATACACAACTCGACAAAGGTGATCCTTGATATATTTGTGAAGTTCTTAAACAGTAAGACCAGTTTTCTCCAGCACAGACAGACCGTCTTCCTGCGAGCCTTTTAACCAGTTCCAAAAAGAGTGACCAGGAGACAAAGACAGCTGTAATGAGGAAGTGTGCTAATAAAACATCAGGAGAATGGGAAGTGTTCCTCGCAATACGGTTCATGGGAACAAAGGAATCCATAAATCAAATACTCCTTTTCCTGAACACTGGCATTGATGTGCTATTTACAATAGCATACAAAGACATGTAACACAAATGAGGTTTAATTTTCAAGTTCAACTTCATTGCTGATTAACATACTCAACTTGTATGTTCCTTTCTAGCCGAAGTAAAAAAGTGAGACTAATACTGAAAAAGAGGTAATCAGAAGTAGCAAAAGCACTGATAATGTGATAACAAAGAATTTGGATAAATATTCAAGAAAGTAATATTGCACACTTTGACTGTCAACTGTGTTAAGACTTTCACTCCCAGGCAGTGACAACCAGTCCCATTTGTTTTTTGCTGTCTTACTACCTTAAAAAAGGTCATTTTTGGTTTCCATGGCAGTGGAAAAAACTGAAGGAAGACAGCCCTTATTGAACGTGAGGCCTAGGTTTTAATATTAATTTTCCAGTCTGCAAGAGAGAAAAAAAAAAAAAAAAGAGTTTAAACTCTGAAAGTTGAGCCCAGTAATTCCATTTCAAATTCAATATTAGAGGCTGAGTTTAATACAGACAACAATACTGAGCATTTCACATTCCAGTTTTACAGACACACAGAATTTGTTGAGGTGTAAACAAACACTGTTCAGAAAAGAAACAAATGTGTCTTTTTGAATTGTTTGCCTTTTTTTTTTTATACAAACAAAGTTTAGGCAATGAACAACTAACACTTACATCATCACAGGACATATTATATTCTGCCAAAACAGTTCGACATCGGGCTGCTATACTGTGTGGACTGTGTCAAGGAAAGCAGCTAACACTCGTACACAGAGTAAGTCAAAACTGAAACAGCAGCATTAGCACAGGCTTCAAGAACAGCAGTAACTACAACACTTTTAACCTGACAAACACAATTAAAGGATACATTGATGGTGCCACCACTCTTTTATGTATTCCAGCAAAGAACAAGCCTATTAGGGTAATACAGCTAATTGTGAAAAACGGGTGATTCCAAAGTGATGTGAAAAACGACACCTAGGAAAGAAATTGGATTAGTCTCACTATATACTTTCTAAAACATACAGAAAGTTGCTTCCTAGTTTGCTTAATGAAAAATAAAATACTGCTCCTAGCCCTGTCCAAGTACTGGTGAACAATTGTTCATATCAGCACTCAAGGCGTAGCATTTTGGTAGGCAACATCCCACGACACATTCCACAACAATTCCAGACAGCTTGAGAGCTTTACTAAAAACTATCTTCCATGGTTTAGCCTTCCAGTTTTCAATATACCACCTGACTGCAGCACCAAGTTATGAAACAGAAAATGTGCAGCACTAGCCTGATCTTACCTTCTGTGTCTCCGGATCTATTAACCAGTTCCAAGCCCCAGTTGCTGTGCAAACTGATACCACTATCAGAATCACTGATGAAGAAAAGAACAAGAGTCATAAATAGTATACCTCACTCATATTTCAGAGCATTTATTTTTCAGCTGCAACTTTTAAGCTTGTATTTCTTTGCCTACTTCTGCATGAGGAAAAGCTTCTATTGAGAGGCAGAAATGAAAATAGGTGAAAAAACTTCCAATAAGGGAAACTGTAAAGATTCTGTACAAGTTGGTACTAAAACATAAATAGACTGATTTTGAGAGACTACAAAGGGTTGGGGAACAGGGGTTGATGGAAAAACAGAACAAATATAAACATAAAGAAACCTCGTATTATATTGCACACCCATAAGGCCTTGTAGCTTTCATTGCAGTTCTGAGTGTTTTCTGTGGAGCCTGGATGCAAATAAATTTTTACTAGAAAGGAAGTGGGCAGGGCAGGGCAAAAAAAAAAGCCAACAAATCAAACAACAAAAAAAAAAAAAAAAGGAAGAGAAGGCCTGGAGTTACTAGCCTTTAGGATCATAGGGAAGAACCTGGAAACAAAACCCAAATATTCACTAAATACTACTTTCAGGTTTGCAAGACTGCTATAATTTGCTATTGAGTTGCGTATTGCTTATAGATATTACAAATTAAAAAAAAAAAACAGGAACTCTGACAAGTTAAGTTTTCAAAAAGAAAGCTGAAGAAGATCTATCAAAAGCATAAAGCTGCTCTATACAAACACATTTTTTTCAGGATAACAGGAAGAAAAGCAAACATTAAATACCCTGTTACAATTAAAGTAGACAGTTCCTCTTTTATGTGAATTGCAAAACTAGAAAAATGAGTAGTTTGGGAAAAAAACATGAATTACAATTGAATACAATACTAGTTATGCAAACGTCATTTAAATATGCCTAGAAGTTTTCGGTACTTTTTTTTTAATTATATCTGACAGTAAATAACAATTCTGGAAGCCAAATGCATTCCTACAATAGGTATGCACAAGTCTGGCAGAGGTGCATATAAATATCTGCCTGCCTCCTGATTGCTCCGAAACAAGGGGGATTGGGGTAGTGGTGTTGGTTTTGCTTTTTAAGTAGTTGTTCCTTCATTCAAAATTGGTCTCTCAGGAGAAAAGATGCAATTTTATATGTTCCAAAAAACATCAGTATTCTTTCAGTAGGGAAACTTCAGCAGAATCTCACAAAAAAAAAAAAAAGCTGTGTGTTTCCACCACAGACTACTGATTCAGAAGTTGGCAGCACATCTGTGGTATCTTTTGACCTTCCCCCTCCTTCAAACTTCCCTGTTAGAACAGAGCTGAAGATATATGCTGCCTTTATGGCACACTGCTGTAACTTTTTCACCTTCAGTTTTATAGGGACTAGCTCGCTCAATTATATTTAGTTTAGGTAACTATAGTGACTATCAGAAGTCTGAGTCTCAAAAAACCCCCCAACAAAACATAAAACCCAGAATAAAACAGAAAAAAAACCATAACAACTTATTGTTCCAACCAGTTCAATCTTAACCTCATTTTTCTAACTCTGGCTAAAGTATTAGTTTATTATCCTGTATTAACTTGTTGCAGTGTTTGAAGTTATGCCACAAATTTTAAAGAAAACCAGATTTTTGTTTGGGCAAATTTAAATCAGAGATATACACTGATAAATCTAAAAACCTTAAAAGACAGAATCCTGTTTATCCCTTGGAACATCAAACTTACTTCTCCAACGTCCTGTAGCTGGTTGCAAACATGCAATATATTCAGTAAGTCTTCTTTCAAAAGCTTTGAGATCTGGGGAGGATGTATATTAAGCATAATTAGATCTTCATCTATTTAGTCACATTTTAATGTAAAAGATAAAAGGAATTCATTTTCCCCTGTGCATACCCACTTAAACAGGCAGAGAAAACCAATGCAATGATCATTTAGATGCAATAAAAGCCCAGGCAAAGTAGTTTTACTCAACTTCAGGTAAAAAGTACACTGATGGAGTAAAACTAAATGCAAGAAACATTCCCACTTACAAAAAAGAAAAATCAATGTAGCTGGGAAATCAGACTATTTAGATATTTTTAAAAACACTGAGAGTTAGATTCTAAGTAGCTTAAATTGCCCCTCAAAACAAACAAAAAAAAGT